GCGACTTGACGTCTTACTGTTTTGTAACTGTGGGCGACATGACGTCTTACTGTATTGTAACTGAGTGCGACTTGATGTCTTACTGTGTTGTAACTGTGGGCGACTTGACGTCCTACTTTATTGTAACTGTGGGCGACTTGACGTCTTACTGTATTGTAACTTTGGGCGACTTGACGTCCTACTTTATTGTAACTTTGGGCGACTTGACGTCCTACTTTATTGTAACTTTGGGCGACTTGAGGTCCTACTGTATTGTAACTGTGGGCGACTTGACGTCTTACTGTATTGTAACTTTGGGCGACTTGACGTCCTACTTTATTGTAACTTTGGGCGACTTGACGTCCTACTGTATTGTAACTTTGGGCGACTTGAGGTCCTACTGTATTGTAACTTTGGGCGACTTGACGTCCTACTTTATTGTAACTTTGGGCGACTTGACGTCCTACTGTATTGTCTTAGTCACGTGCAAGTTAGCCCACATCTTGGTCTTTGTTTTTAAAAACGGTTCCAGTGAAATTGATACTTTTTGTTAGGCATTGCTTGTGGAATATATTTGATGTCCATGTAAGTAAATTCCATGTAAACGTTTATTACACATCTAAAGAGCACTATACATCAAAACCATGTTCTACATTATTTGTTGTTATTGTGTTCTGTCCTCGTCCCAAGGGCAATTTGTGTAATTTTGGACTAAACAACAGTGTAAAAGTTCACATTATAGAGACGTCAAATTTAATATATGATAAAATAATATAAATTCAAAAGTATCTACTGCAAATGGATTGGCACTATAAAATACATCTTACAATAAAAGATAAGTTGTATATGTGCATTGACATAAACAATGTATCAATGGCACAGAAACTGTAACAAGGTGTTCATACACGTAGTACATTTGTATATCAACATAGTCTGTCGCGCTTCTGTTTAAAATTGGAGTATTTAATTACAAAATATTTGATTGTCAAAAGGTAGATGTAAGGAATTACATGTACATGTACATACTGATTAATCTATAAACACGTGTGCTATGTAAGAAAACAGATCTGTTCGAGGTTACATTACCGAAACGACTAAGCAATCTGTTGGTATTACCCCTAGTACTAAATGCATCGGTCTTATAAGCAATAACTTTGCGACTTTTCTACATGTACATGTCTATGTATGTATTTCACTGCGTTTTTTCTATTTTGCCTTCAAACTACTTTGTAGTTACAAATATGCAAATAAAAACATTTTGAATTTTTGAATTTATAACCAGATAACCACTCATTCATGTATCAATTTTCCTCAAATAATTCACAAATGCATCAAAATCAAAATCTTTCTGAACATGCCCCGCTTTGTTCTTTTCTTTTTTATTTAGCATAAAATGTTTTGTTCACAAGATATCCTTTAATGGTACATATATGTGTTAAGTATGTGTCCACTACATATTACGCTGATTTAGTGATCTGTGTATTGTGTAACACCAAACCATCCTGATGCTCAAGTTATCTAACGAATATAACTTGTTCTCGATCAATGGATGCGAACTTGGTAGTACTTGTTAACCACAGTACTTCAGTGAACCTATGCTATCAGTAGCCATATTGATAATTACCATCTGACGTCACAAACACAGTATTCAATTAAGCATAAATACAGTAATATTACAATACGCAGCAAAAAGAATAAATATAATAAAACAATTAAATCAAAGATAACAGACAAAAGCAGACGAAAATATTGAGGCTAGTGAGACTTATCAGAGGAATGAAAAGTGATTATATCAGCGATGGAGACAAACATGACGGACAGAGGAGACGACATTGCGTAGATGTGGGGACAATCATGGAGACGTCAGATATCTGAAATTGGGGAGTCATAGACGTCTTTGAATACTGTAGGGTAGGAGACAAGTAGGAGACAAGGAGGAGACAAGTAGGAGACAAGTAGGAGACAAGGAGGAGACAAGCACCACGTTGTATGTTGAAGAACACCAAGACATCAGATAAGAGAGAAAAGCACGATTTTATTTGGGGTGTTGACAAACTCGATATCGTGGGGGTGTAGACAATCNATCAAGTCGTGGAGGAGGAGATAAACACGAGAGGGGAGACCAGCACGATATCGTGGGATGGAGGGGGACGAATACGATATTGTGGGGGAGGAGACGAAAACAACATCACGTGTGACATAAGACAAACCCAATAAATATTGGGAAAGGAGAAAGCCCGAACACCATGTTTGAAATGAGAGAAACCAGATATCAAGTTAGAAAGGAAACACACTCGACATCAAGTGGGATTTGAGACAAAGACGACATTAGGTGGAAGAAGACGCAAAAACGACATGTGGGAGGAGACAAGGACGTCATCACGTGCGGTAAGAAGTAAAGGCGACATCTCATGGGGAGGAAAAACAAAATAAGGAAAAGAGATGAGAGGAAAGGCGACATCAGCAGAGGAGAAGACGGTAATAAAAAATAACGATGGACTTGTTCAAGCAGCAACGTCATAGTTGTACACTGTAAGGAGGGGGTAAGATTGGATATTGGGGAGACAACAAGAGCAATAGGCGAGAAGACAACATATGGGTTAAAAGTGGTTTGATACAACATCAGTAACATTAGAGAGGAGACAATATAAGGAAATGTGACAAAAGGAGACAATACGAAAGAATCGGAGACGAGGACCATACACGGTAAGTAAAAGAGGGATACAACAGAATATATTCCAAGGGGAAACACGAAAGGGAGGGAACGAGAGTCTATCACGAGGAGGGAAGACTGGGGGCAACACGAATGGAGATACAAGAGTATATTACGAGGAGGGAAAACTGGGGGCAACACGAATGAAAATACACGAGACTTTTACGAAGAGGGAAGACTGGGGGAAACACGAAAGGATATACAAGAGGCTTTCAAGAAGAGGGAAGACTGGGGGCAACACGAAATGATATACAATGGGCTATCACGAAGAGGAAAGACTGGAGGAAACAGTAAAGAAGATAGGCTTTTACGAAGAGGGATGACTGGGGCAACACTAAAGGAGATACAAGAGGCTATCACGAAGAGGGAAGACTGGAAGAAACACGAAAGGATATACAAGAGTCTATCACGATGTGGATACGAGAGCAGACATTTTAAGGAGGTTGACGAAATTCGCAGTACATGGGGAGGAGACGATAGGCGACCACACCTATGGTAAACAATACGATGGGAGAAGAGATGAAGGCATGTCAGCTTTAGTTCGCTCACTAGATAGACATCTGCACATCTACACATGATCAGTCTAATATATTATCTGTTCTTAGCCATCATTGTCAAACAGACAAGCGACAGGATATTGTAATTACTTTATATGTTAACCTTAGGTGCCTTCAAAGCATTTCCTTGTGATGTTAAGTCTATTTCAGTATATTGGCTACTGGAGAATGTTTAAATTTCTACAAAGAAAGTTTTTCTAGCTTTATTTATGTGTAAGTCGTCTGAAATGCACGGTTTAATCAATGTGGGATAAGTAAGTAGCGTAGCGTAGATTCGCGCCTCCCGACCTTACCGACGACCCCCATACACTTCAATTGGACAAGCAAGTGCCTGTGATTCATGACCGCGTGTGACACCGCCGCCGTGCGGCTCACTCACCTTGGAATCGTGTAGGTGTTCAAATCCCACAGTCAATGTTGAGCCCGTGTATCATCAGGCTATCTCCTGCTTGCCGGCACGTCTGGACAAATAGGGGGCGCGCGCATACAGACGCCGCCACCACCGGCCGCTCCATGTTGACAAATGGCTGTCCTCGATTTAGCGACAAACTAGAGTCTGGCTCAATTTCTCTCGATAATGTTCCATTACAAATAAATGTTTTTTGTGTATTCAAAAGTCTAAAAAGTATCTATGTGTATTGCCCTATTTCCCATCAACTACATTGTAGTTTGGATCACATGTTACATCAGAAAAGCCTTTTCAGTCTCAATTTCTTTTAGACGCTGCTTGCAGTTGACCTATGCATGGTCATACAAAATTGAGCAGAATGATCACGTTACGGAAGATTCTGTCCGAACCTTTGTTTAACGTGACAAATAATAAGTTGTCGATAGAGTGACCAAGCTAGACCATTGGGTAACCATCAACATATGGACATCAATGACGTCAAACACACTGGCAGACATCACGAAATGTCACCCTTTTATTTGAACCAGTAACGAGCGCCAAAATGATCATTGTTCGTATGCATTGGTCTCAAAATACAAATGCCATTAACTGAATTACCATCAAAAAACTCCCAACCCAAACATACATTAATTGTCAAGTATGCCATGCTGAAGCTTGAAAGTAAACTCACAGGAAAAGAATCCATCATCACTTTCATTCAAGAAGATAAGAGAATTTACCATCTACCCATTTCACACGTCATCGGCTAGGCGCGATAGCGGGAGAGTAATTGTCCCGAAATAGTGTTTGTAGTTTCTGATACATGCGGGATGTGGCTTTTCTAGAGGGGCTATATGTGGCTGTCTGGCGGGGGCTAGATGTGGCCTAATTACCTTATCAGCAGTGGCTCTAATCAATGATGTGTGTAAATTTACTCGTATACTCATCAAACGCCTCAATCGTACATGTCGAGAGGGGATTTGCAGGGTGAACGCGGCCAATTATTACGTTAGCCTGTCTTAGGATATTAGCCTTTATATCAAGATGTTGATCGCGTTACAAATTGAATTCTGTAGTCTAATGCCTCAATAAGAAAAGTAAAATCTGTTCTCAACGCCGATCCTAAAACCCGCACGATCTTTCATAAATTGGCAGGCATATGCGTTAAATTCTTAAACATGCAAAGCACTCTGCAAGACTAGAAACTGCCTACTGTTAACGACGTGTACATGTGTAAAAATAACATAACTGTTTGATGTAGAAAATGCAACCAGTTTAGAAACAAACAAAGGTAATCGAATCGAGAACGTTCTTCACGCTCAATTACAGACAATAGTGGGAACACAATCCATTGGTGTCTTACCTTTTCATCGCCGCGTGGTGCTCAGCTCCGATGAAGTGTCAGAAACGATTCCACAGTGGCCATGTGCCTCTTTGAAATTCTTGGATTGTACATGGTTACCAAGCATACGATGTGTAAAGCATGGCGCTAAGGTCACACTGGCGGGCACTCGCGAGGGCCAATTCAGGTACAAGTATATACGTTTTAAAATTCCTTTGAAAAGAGTAATGGTAGCGCCTTATGTTACAACACCGTCCTCCCTGTGTTACCGATGTCGGGGTACATAATTAATCGTCTATACATATAGTGACACAGCGACGTTTTCAGAGAGCCCTGATCTGAGGAGAAGCGACATTACTTCAGTGAAATTTTCCAACATTTCAGCACCCCAGTCGCCGGGCAAACCACATCGATCTAGTCGCCTCTAACGTTCCAAATATTCATTACAGCACCACGTTTTTACAGTTCCCAATTAAAGTCACGTACATCAACAAACGGTTCCAACGATTCTACCATCAGTACCAGTACCCTGGAACCTATTGTTCGTACAAAACGCAAGACTGCATATATAAACGTATGTGCGCGATAAGGGTGGTATCTACAGGGCCGCGGCTACATAGCTTAACACGCGCAGCATCCCAATATCACTTTGTAAACAATGCAAAATGTGTTCATACCAACATCGGAATTGATCAAACTTTTACAGTGGGAGGGGAACTAGACTCCCGTTCCAAGCCGCGGTGTTTGATGTTGGTTCATAAATAGTCAACAATTCAATAGGTTTTATTATATTCAAATGTTATGACACAAACAAAGTCCCGTCCCTGGAACCCTGGATTTTGTCCGGCCCTGTGAACACACTAGGGTCAATAGCCCGGCCCTGGAAACAACATACAATGTAGTGTAAATATATCGGCCTCGGGAACACCCTGGTTTTAATAGCCCGGCCCTGATTATAGTCCGGATATGGTAATATTCCAAGAACATTTACAGACCATGGGAGTATTTTGACGGTATATCGACCAAGGAAGTATTTTGACGGTATCTATAGACCGTGGAAGTATTTTGACGGTATTTTACTATCCTTGGGATTGTTTTGACAGTATTTACCGATCATTGGAGTATTTTGAAGGTATAGCCCGGTGCTCTGACCTAATAACCCCGGTTTGGGAATACTCTCTGACAGATTTGTTTCACAATTTCTCATTGACAACTTGTTTGGATCAATACAATCAGTTACTTCACAAACCAAACTGTTTGATCTAGACTAAAATGAAATTTGGAAGTATAAGGATGGCACCACTGCGGAGCACTGGTTTGATACAATCTCCACCGGAGGGATGAGCTACATCATATTTAGCAAGTTATCAGATAGTCAGGGGCCCGCCGTGTCGTACAAACTATTCCTAGGTTCCATCATTATTGAATGCATCTCCATCGGATAACGTGAGCTGACGTCACTTTAACACGTACAGCTCTTATGTTTTATTGCGTAACAATCACCGGAAGTGCTAAGTAAAACAATTGTTTTGCATATTCTGCAACGAGATATTTGGAAGTGCTGATTTTTAACTCACCTGACCCGAAGGGCCAAGTGAGCTTATGGCATGGTGCAGCGTCCGTCGTCCGTCCGTCCGTCCGGCGTCAATATTTTACTTTAAACAACTTCTTCTTAATAACCGCAAGGCCTAGGGTGATGATATTTGGCCAGCAGCAAACTGAGATGAAGGGCTACAAGGTTTGTTCAAATAAATGACTTTCACCTATTTTCAAGGTCACAGGGGTCAAATATGTTAAAAACTTTATACAACTTCTTCTGAATAACCAAAACGCCCAGGGTGATGATATTTGGCCAGTAGCATGCTGGGATAAAGGGCTACCAAGTTTGTTCAAATGAATGGCCTTCATCCATTTTCAAGGTCACAGGGGTCAATTGTCTTAAAAAATCTTTACATAACTTCCTCTGAATAACTAAGAGGCCTAGGATAATGATATTTAGCAAGTAACATGCTGGGATGAAGGGCTACCTAGTTTAGTCAAATGAATGACCTTTAATTATATTCAAGGTCACAGGGGTCAAATATGTTTAAAACCTTGAAACAACTTCCTCTCAATAACCAAAAGGCCTAGGATGATGTTATTTGGCCAGTATCATGATGTGATGAAGGGCTACCAAGTTTGTTCAAATGAATGACCTTTACTGATATTCAAGGTCACAGGGGTCAAATATGTTTAAAACCTTGAAACAACTTCTTCTCAATAACCAAGAGGCCTGGGATGATGATATTTGGCAAGTAGCATGCTGTGATAAAGGGCTACCAAGTTTGTTCAAATAAATGACTGACAAATATTCAAGGTCACAGGGGTCAAACATGTTTAAAAACTTTATACAACTTCTTCTAAATACCTAAGAGGCCTAAGGTTATGATATTTGGCAAGTAACATGCTGGGATGAAGGGCTTCCAAGTTTGTTCAATTGAATGACCTTAACTTATTTTCAAGGTCAAAGGGGTCAGATATGTTTGAAACCTTTATACAACCTCTTCTTAATAACAAAGAGGCCTAGGGTTATGATAGTTGGCAAGTAGCATGCTAGGATGAAGGGCTACCAAGTTTGTTAAAATGAATGACCTTCACCCATATTCAAGGTCACAGTGGTCATACGTTTAAATATTTTAATAGGTTCTTATGAACCAAACACTGATATTCTGCCTCTAGCTGTATTTTAGTCCACGTTTAAGATTACAAGTGTGAGATTAATACCAGTTGAGCGATTCAGGCCCATTTGGGCCTCCTGTTCTTAAACTTTATATGCAGGTAAAGCATCAGATAACCTCGAACTAGTCCAGGGCCCGTATTCATGAAAGCGTTCTCATGCTCAAGCATTGGTTCTGTGCTCAAACCTATTTTCTTGTAACTCGCTTAAATCTTGTCAAACAATCAAAAAGGCAAATGTCAACATTTGAAACAGTTTTCGGCTTTAAATCTCTTCAATGTTTTCCAAATCATTGAAAAAAGGACTAAGGAGACTCAAGTTTGTATAAACAGAGGGTGTGACCACTCTGGGGGCCGAGGGGCGGGGCCCAATGGGGGGAAATAGGAGTTTTCTCTCTCCTACTATACAAGTGAAGGGATTTAAACCAAATGCAGTCTGATACATGCATAGGGACAAAAGAATCAATTTTGTATAAACTGAGGTGTGTGGACCCCCTTCTTTGGGGCAGATGGGTGGGGCCCATTAGAGGAAATAGAGGAAAAAGAGGAAAACATCAAAGAGCCTTCTCCTTCTGTACCGTTGAAGAGATTTTAACCAAACATGTTCTAGAGAATCCCCCCACCCATCCCCCACTTCTTGCAAATTCTTGTACTCCTTTGATAAACCTGTATGGTACTCAGTAGGTTTTAAATTGAAAACTAAAATACCAGGTGAACTATTAAGGCCCCTGGGCCTCTTGTCTTTTACATGATAGTTTAGCAGGTCGGTTGAATACAGCCACATTAAGGTAGGAAATAATGTCTTTATCTAACAATCTGTTACTCCATGAATACCATTCCGCTGTTACACGTACATGCTCGACAATTTTTGGTGATACATGTCATTTATGTAAAACCAGTACATCTGGCACAACTAGCAATCAATGTTATTTTATTTTGAAAAGGACAACAAGTTAAATTACATCGTATTTTTATACAGTTGTATGTAACGTATATGTAATGACTCCTTCGACTCCTCGCTGTATCTGAAAACTCCATCGTAACACAGACGAATCTGACGCCAGACCATGACAGGAGACAGCCAGACTCTGGCCTAAAATACATCAGGCCTAGTCCCACACATCAATACATGTATGTACATCGTTTGATATAGGGTATATCCATGCGTTTATTTAGTAAACTTTTACCAGGTAATGTTGCTCATGCTTTAATAGTGGTCGACACTACCCAATATCTGATGACGAAGGGTACACGATCCGTTATTGACCAGTAAATCAGGGCGGCATTAACTACAACGTTATCGAACAAACATGAAAATGTGACGTACATGTATCAGCGGCGGACCCAGCGGTGTTGCCCTAGTTGCCCGGGCAACACCCTTTTTTCTGTGTACAAAAATAATCTGGACTTAGATTTTTGAAGATTTTCCTCTTTTTCATATGGGAATTTTTTCTAATATCAACCATCCTGTGAACTATGATTTTCTATGGCAAGCAGCAGTTTGAATATCTATATATGCCTAAGGGTGAAGTTGCCTAAACAAGGAGTCCACTACTTATACTTTAAACAATAGGGGATTAATCCTCTTTTGTTTATATATTAGTCAATCAATCAATCAATCATTCATTTATTTTATTTAAGTGTCACATGTTAATACAAACATTAAAACAGGTATCTGAGAAATTTAAACATAAAACTATATTAACATCCAGCCATCAATGACTTATGAGACATTATCAATCTTTAAAACTACTTCAATAGTCCATACCAAAGAAGTTATAAAATATTACAAAAAGGAAAAGAAAAATTAAGAACATTTTCCAAATTATAGGATATATATACTTAGTAAAAGATGCTGTAAATAATTATGATTAGACAAAAAATCCTTATATACAATTTAAAAACATCCTCCTTCTGCGTAACATAAAATATACAGTTTTTCCTAATAAAAATTAGATATTGGGATTGTCCATTAATAAATATAATTTTTCATTACTATCACAATCTTTGAAAGTATCACAAGAGTTCTCCATCTGATGAAATAGACTAAGTCTTTGGTCACTATACAAAGGAAAGTCGCATAAAAAATAACTTCAGTCTCCACGGAGTTATGGCAGAAAAAAACAGGGGTCTCCAGTCAGGTCAGTTGGTGAAGGCTTTGATCAACGAACTGTCTACCTAATCGTATTGTTCTAATGTCACGGTGTGGTGATCACCCTGTTCGTTGAGAGAGGATAAAACCATCTGTTAGAATTAGGTATATATGTTAATTGTTATTTCAAAGGTAGAGTCCATTTCATGATCGATAAACCTGTATTTTCACCTGTGGTTTCATGTACACGTGATCACCAGGAGTGATTAATTATACCTGTTAAAAAACGTGAATTTCAAAAATTTCAAAGACAATAAAGCATCCATCTTAGCAATCTAATTATATCTTCGCATCTTCACGTTTTATGGGAGCGATGTGAATATATGATTTTAATTTGATTGCCACCATAGCATCACGTTATCAGGTGAATAATAACCAATGCTAGCAGAAAAGCCTGTATATATATATCCTTTTTAACAGGTGTTGCCCTTGTACATATGCATGCATACAAATGCACAATAAAAGACAAACAGTCAAATCATAATTCAAATTTATGACAAATTAAATCAATATTTAATTGCCAAAATGCTCACCTAAACTACATGCACATGAAAGGCATGACACAAACATCAACATTTTAACCAAAAACCTACATTTTTACCATTGTTTCAGAGAAGCTCCGCTCGGCCATCATAAAATATACATACTCTATGTTATGAAATATAACCTGGAATAATACCGCAAACTCAGAAAACTAGTCTATGCCTTATTCGACCTGTTTGACAATGGAAATAATG